CTTACAATAAGGTCATAAACAGATTTTAATCTGAGTAACATAAGTCTTCGATAGTTTTTTTTGCGACAATCGTAACTGTCAACCAATTTTCAACTTGAAAGCCATTGACAGTCGCGATATCAGAAGAAAATTTATCGGCCACTTATCTTGACCGCGAGATTCATCAAAACAAAACAAAGCATTTGCAGAATGCTTCTAACTTTCTTCTAACTTTTAATAATGCCTAGTTACATTGAGAAAAGGCTTGAGTAAGAAAAAAAGTGAGTGAATTACTCACTGGCCGGCCGCAGTTAAGCATTACCACTTATCCATGTGCTTTTACTGCATGAGCACATTGCATTTAATGGTTCTGATTGGTTGGCCAATCAAAAAGTCGGTAAACAAATAACCAGTGACTACCTATTCAAAGACTACATAAAATAATGGCTTAAATAGGTATAAGATTAAGATGCAATTGTTTTCTACAATCACTTTTGACTGTAGCTTGACATAGAGTGAATTAACCAAGAATTGTAAGAAAGCATGAACTATCCAATCACCCGCACCTGAAAGAATAAAAGAAGCTCTTGGTACAGTAACAGAGATGCATTCTGAATGTTAGTTTAAATTTTTAACAGTGATTTTATCATACAGAGCGTTGTGTTAGTGAATGTGTCATATCTTAATCAAAAGGCTGCGAGAAAGGATACTTTTTGACGCCCACATTCCTCAGTTCGTTATTCACGAAAAGTGAGAGTCATCAGAGAGTAGTAACAATGACTCATGCCAATGAAAAAGTAACGACAATTTGACAAAAGAAAACTAGAGACAGATCAAGTAAACAACTTGGGTCCCCCGCGTGGCAGGCGGATATTGACAGCATGCCGAAACTGTAGCAAATCGCTAGTCAACTGGAAATGCTTAGTTTATGAGATCTAATATATTCAATGTACTTGTGAAAAAGTGTAAGGTTTAAAAGCTAACAATGAGAATGCAGTTTAATGTCTTAAATTTCAAAATAAGCTGTGCATTGCTATGTTGGCATAGAGAAATTTACAGTACATTGTTTATTTTATGACTTAGGCGTCAGCTTTAAGTCTGAAAGCAGCTAGAGATACGGTATTTTTATTAGACAAGAAAATAGTAAATGCTTTAACTGTAAGGAATGATTTGAAGAATAATTCATCACAAGTTTCTGTAATAAGAACGATGTGACTGACGTAAAAGAAAGAAACTAAGTAGATTCGGAAGTTCTTTATAGTAGACTTTAGGTCAATTAAGGTCAGAACGACTGTTTTACTATAATGAGTCAACTTGTTCCAGTTCTCTGCTGCATTTTCTTAGCTATGGAAATACGTTACTGACAATTACGAAACTACCAGTCAGAAAAGATCCACGTTTTTAATCATGAAACCTTATCTACAGATAAAAGAATATAGCGAGAAAAAGTTTAATTTCTTGACTTTCTTGATTCAGTATACTACATGATATAACATTTAAAATTATTGCTGGAAACGACTCTGTTATTCTAAATATAATCCGGAAGGTTCTGCTATTTAGGTCATATGGGGTTTGTGGATTTTACTGTGGCGTCTTCATTTTCATTTCTAAAGACTGTCTTCGATTTCGACGACACAATCACCTATTCTTCTATTAATTCAAAAATTTTGTACTCGGTCAAACTTCTACTTCTAGAATACTACGCAAACGTTGACGAACAATAAAGTATTTCGACGAAAAATATCGTTAACGTTAAAGAAATACATCAGAAACATTCGTATCGTTTGCTCATCAAACCAACTTCTTTGCACACGTAAAAACACCTAAGATATAAATATTTAGAATTGGCTGTTATCCTATCTTCATTTACATATTCCCTATTAGAACAACTGATTCTATTTACGTTTTTAGGTTGTTCATATGCGACGTGTGCATTACGGCAGTATGAAAGTCAACGATGAACAATATGTAAAGTTAAAGAAAATTGTTTACAAAAAATGATTAATCAACGGTAAATACAGTCAAAAATATTTAGTCTACCTTCCAGTTTAGAAACTGTTTGAATTTTCCTTTTTTCCAAGCCTGGAAATATTTGTCGAGATATACCAGGATCAAATGTTTCAGTTCATAAAATAATTGCGTTAAATATTATTGTGCTTTATTATGGAGTTTAAACGTTTAAAGCCATTTCTCCTGAGATATTTTACATCACGTCTATTCAAATGTATGCATATGTAGTGAAGAAAAGTTGATTTCTGATTTGTATCTTATTGCATAACATCTCAGTTCAATGGTTTTAGCAACATTCAGTCATAATGTTCTGTATTTATTTTGTAATCTGTACGTACTATCGACATTTATCAAGCGTGCTGCTCATTCATTTGGTAGGGAACAATTTGTTCAACAAAAAAGTGGCAATGCTATTTTTTACACCAGATATTTCATTAGGGCCTGTCAGCAGTCGAATCTTATATTTTAATGTGTTTCGATCAGAGTTGCCAGATGCTCAGGACAGAAATGCGAAATAAAAATTCCAAAATGCGGAAAAAAAAACAGAAACGCACTTTCATGGTCTAACTTTATCCTTTTTCACGCGTAGAGAGTCAAAAGGTTTTCTCCAGCACTTTATATTTTTACTCAATAAAACACAAGAGACCAACAAACAGAAATGTAACTCTCGATCTTAATTGATATATTGTTTTTGGACTGTATATTTTTGATTAGAATAAATAAGTTTAAGCAGTTCTGGTGTTGATAAGAAATAATTATAAGTTTCAGTGCATGATAACAATGAGTTTAAACAAATTTTTAACCCAGGGTAAAAGCAGAAAATGCTTAAAATGCGTACAAATAGTAGACAGCGGACAAATTGCGAAAAAAACTCAAAAATCCGGAATTTGTCTGCAAAATGCGGACCATCTGGTAACTCTGGTTTCGATTCATCTTCTCGCTTTTTAGTTTTGCTCATTGATAAAGCATTATGCAGTTTCCAACAGTGTACTTGGCAATTATATTTCTTTCATTCTTCACATTTTCAGCGCAATCTATAGGCTAGATTTTTGTTTTGATTTTTGACCTAAACTCTTCGTTCTCTTATTGTAGACACCGATAGGAATGATGTTGGCACTGTACTGCGAGAAATACCTCGATCTGTCATGCAGCACATTTGAGAGCCGTATTATCTGACATGTAAGTAAGAGGTTTTATTTTATTTTGTATTGTATACTTAAAAGTTCTGTTAACAGTTCCCTATTTATTATTTGGTGTCTGTGTAGCCTTAAGTGGTGCTACGCTGTTTTTGATTGCATCCATGAAACGGTGGCGAGAATCAAAATATAAACCAATATAACATGATCTTGGCATCGGCGTTGCAGCTTTTTCTCAATAAAATCGAGCATAAGCTGCATTATGTATATTTATACATTGTTGTTCTTTCCCTGTTTTTCTCATAAATCGTGAAAATATAATTGATTATACTTTTTCAAAAATGAATATCTGTTATGTTTTGTTCAACTATCACCGTTTGTGTGTGTGGAGCTTGTTGCTCTTCCCATTTCTTTTTTCAATATTCCATTTGTCCGATCTATAAGTCATATTTATTTGAAATAGCGTGTTTGTTTTGCTCGTGTAACGAATTTCTGTCTAATGTATTTATCTCTTCTTCTTAGCGTAAGCTGTATCTAGTGCTATTTTCGTTTTTTTTAAATTTTATGTTCTGCAAACAGTGATTAATTTTTGATTTTGCAAATGCGCAAGTTTTATTTTTTTTTGTGTGTTTGTATTACCAAAATTTATTTGTACAGTCAACATCTTGAACAGTTTAAGCGTTAGCAAATAATATAAAAAAAAATCTATTACGTTAACGTCATTTATTGGTCTTATTTTTTTTGATGAAATATGCTAAACGTTTAACTTCTAAGGAGAAAAGATCACTAATAATCATTTTTTTTGAGATTCCTCATGAAAAGAAACACTACTTCACACTAAACTACACAGATACGTAATCAGAGCTACACATATTTCGTGACGAAAGCAGCTTCTGCCACTGTTTAACAATGTAACTTAACTTAGGAAACTTACCTTCTTGATTTGGAATTTTAGACGCTGCGAGATTTTACTTAAATGATTTTTTAATTGGGCTCCATTCGTATCAGAAGCCCTTTTAACATAATAAAATGAGCTTTGGGTTTTGTTATACGCACATTTTCTCTGATCACGATTCCAGTGAAGGGAGACTAATTGTCTTAGTTCGTGGGAGAGAATGAACACTATCGATATTTTAAGAAATAATATACCACTTTCAGCAGTAAAATCTGCTAACGCACAAGCTCATCTCCGAAAAAGAGCTATTAACTTGAAAAATTTTTAAAACAAAAGAGACAAGAATGTTTTTCCGCTTATCAGATTTCTCTTGGCACCATCTTGTTTAGACCTGTACTAAACGGGAAAATAAAGATAAAATACTTATCCTGCAGTTTATCTCAATAAACTCAACTTTTCCTACAGAAGACGAGTGACAAATCTTTTATCAACTGAATCATACTGACGTTTGTTCGTGACATACCGATAGTGTTCTGTTTGATTTCTTCGTTTTTCCTTCGCTTTTTGTTCGTTATTTTTCTCTATTATCTACCTTGAAGAAAAAAAAACACGTAGTCTATGTATATGTTTGTGCTTTTGAATATATATTTACTTGCGTGTGTTTTTTCGTTCTATTACTCAAAATCTAAAAAAAAAGAGAAAATTTAAAATTTTTTTATTATTCTTTGATAATAATGTTATGTATGACAAACACCCAACACGCGCACATATTCTAGCTGTTAAAGAAAAAAAAAAGTTTTTTAAAAACTATTTATCTTTCTTAAAGAAAACAGCTGTATTGTCAGATTTTTTTGAGTTTTTAAATTGCCATATTGATTAGTAAAATTATAGCTGGTGACAAGTTATTAAAAGAGAGGTGTCGCACTGCACGGTTCTGAAACTTTTGTGCTTTTTTAGATGATTATTTAGGTCGAAGAACTATGCCACCACCGCCTCCTGCGCCACCACCGCCGCCGATGCCCCCTTTGGGTGGATTACCAGCGTCTGCTTCACAACCAGTCCGGAATGACTTACTTGGTGAAATCGGTTCATTTAGTAAAACACACTTAAAAAAAGCAAAAACAAATGATCGAAGTGCACCACTAATCGGTAATAAATCGAATAATCTGAATACGAATAATTCTCCTGCGAATGATCCACCAGCTCGTATGCCAGGTAGAGCATTGTCAGCATTATCACAGAATAATAATAATAATAATAATAATAATAATAATAATAATATTAATAACCGTAATGGAAATACACGTCCATCAACAGCTGTATCGAATTTAACCCCATCATTAGCGTCCTCTAATACACCATTACCGTCAGGCTTAAATATAAATCCGTCGCAATTAAAAATGAATTTACGTCCAACCGGAACTATTAACCTTTCGAAACCGAACGTGTCATCAACCACTAAAGTTTCAGCGTCGCAGGCGTTCGTTCCACACCAAGAACCACCATTATCACCATCAAGTCCACAAGATTCAAAACAGCTAACAAATGCTCGACAACATGAAACCTTTGAATCAAATGGTGATGAATACCCTTGAGGAGTGTTTTCATCTTATCTAACGTTGGTTATTTTTTTTATTTAGAAACAAGACATTTCGTTCATGCACATAATCCTCCTCGAGTGCCTCCCCGTGAGGCACCCCGTGACGCTCCTCCGTTACCACCCGAGAAAACAGTGAGCCAAGCTACAAGTATTGGAAATATAAGTACGTATATTTCATTGAAAACACAAGTACGTTTCCCATCACTAAGTGGTAGTACTCTTTTATATTTCAGATCCGAAACGTGTGCCACCGCCCCCTCCACCTCCACCACCACCACCACCACCTCCAGTTTCAGCCCAAACAACGACATCAAAAGTATCCAATAATCACATAGTTCGATTAAATCCACAAAATGTGGAAAAATTTCAATCAATTACCAATTTGACTGTTACCACCAACCATCAAAAAAATAACGCACCACCACCGCCGCCTCCACCAAGGCAAACGAATGGTACGATCCGTCGACCACCATCAGACTTTATTGATTCATCATCAAGTTTTGCTATTAATAACTCTAATAATCATAATTCTCAAACGATTCCATATGACATCGAATTCGAGAGAAAGTATGAGTGGTCTAATATCGACAATCTTCCACCACCCGATCGTTATAATCCACCACAAAAATCGAATAAACATTTAAATCCACGTTAAAATTTCTCTGTTTTGTCTATGTACATCGTATGTGCGTTTTATTTTATGATCTCTTTTCCTCTAAACTAAAAAATAATCGAGTTTATTCCTGAACATTCATTTATTTTCATTGTGCATATATCTGTTTCTATTTTGTTAAAATGACTTGTGCTTGCATGAATATCTTATATTATCGCTTCTTTTTGTTGAGTAGGGCTACCCTATGAGGTGAAATAAACACTCTCCCTGAATTGATCTCGACAAAAATCATAATAAACATTTCTATTTTGAGTGTGTATGACGCGTTTTTTTTTTTTTTTCTTATATAATAACAGTGATTTGTTTTCTTATTATTCTTATTGTTATTTTGGTTTTTTCATTTCGTGTTTTTGTCTTTGCTAATTTTCATCTTATAAAAATTCTGTGCTTATACATACGCATACGCGAAAACAATCCTAGCATATTTGCTAAAATTACCATGTATTTGCCTGATTAATAGAAGAAAGCTGACGGATTACGAGTCAAATGAAAGTCTGTATGTGAGAATAGGACAAGAGTTGGTAGTAATTGAAATAATTCTATGGTCATAGGAGTTTGTTATCTTAAGAATTCTTCTGCGAAGATTTAAAATGTTCTATTCCATGAAACTAAGTCTCAATGTATCGCAATCTTATACAAGGTTAACAGACGTTTGCTTTGTTTACGTATTTCATGGATAGATTAGTTAAACAACATTATTTTTCTTTTGAGCTGCGAGGAACTAGAGGAAGTAATGGGAGCATCCCGAAATGTAGATCCTTAAAAAGGCTTTGACGTGCTAAATCAGTATTATAAATAAGACGCCCGTAATTCAAAACTCAAATTAAAAAGCTTCGTAGGACTGAAGTTTTCAAACCTAAAGTCCGATTGAGTCTGGTTAACATAAACGGACACGCTAAAAAGACACTATCTTATTTTGTAAACCTACCTAGTTTTTTGCTGCAGAGATATAGTCAAATATTTTATCACATTGGATTCATCATATCACTAGTAACAAAAGCATGCACCGCTTTTCTTAAAAATTGTTTCGGTACTGAAATCCATATTTCCTCAATCAGAGGATCAACTAAAATCTTCAAAATATACCATTCGACTTGGATTTTGACGCTGATTCAGAATATGATATTTTTAAGCGGTGCATGTTTTTGTTACTGGTGGTATGATGAATCGAATGAGATAAAATATTTGACTTCAGCAAGAATCTAGATAAGTTTACAGAATGAGGTGGCAACCACTAAGGCAGTATGGATTAGTTGTTCGCTATGTTATCTGTCGCGTACTGCAAATATACTGTGTTCGAACCTCGTCAGGTCATGTAATAACCTTGGACAAGTTACTTATGTCTTGATGTCTCGGATCACCCGTCCGATAGTATACTCACTACGTTGTGCCGTACAATAGAGCCTCTCTGGCTAGTGCGCGTAGCTTTCTTAGAAAGGTAGTACGTGGTTAGTGAGTGTGTATGGGGAGCCCAAGTAATTAGACGAAAGAACTCTGCGTTAGATTATCCTTCTATCCATAACTGTGGCTGATGACTAGTAACGAGATGGGTGACCATGGGGTAATAGTAAAACATGAAGACACCCACAGACAACCAAAAATAACTACGCAGACATCCATTGGCTGTCTATGGATGTCTGTGTAGCTGTCTGTGGGTGTCTTCATGTTTTACTAGTTTCCGTGATCGTGCCAGACGCTTGTTAACTGCAGGGAAGACATTGGGCTATTGAAACTGCCATTCGGCAGTATCCTATACCGAAAACGGTAGCCGTAAGGCGCGATATCCTTCTTTTAATGCACGATCGTTAGAAACTCCATTTTCGAGTTCACAAATAGGAAGAGATATTTCTTGAGGGATACTCAGAGAGACGTATTTTTACGAGAGACAAATCTTCAAATGATGGATTATCTCCCTCGTAGGAGGATATTTTACAGCCTGTATCACACACATGTATCACACTATCTCTTTATTACATATTCCTAGAGATCTGCATAGACATTTTTTACTTCATGTCCCGTCCATGGACATGTTCATTGAATACACATCTTTACACGTGCAAAAAAAAAATCTTTACACGAAAATAAAAATAAAATTGTAAATTTTATTTTTTCAATTTTATTTTTTTCTTGACAAAACTGTTTTACCTCGAAATCTTTCACAAAATCTTTTGTGGAAAACTTCAAACTGGAGAGAAACACAAGCCTAAATCAAACACCGGACTCTAGTGCATCAGAGCGCTAAGTATTACCTTCAATTTAAAGAAACTAAAGCCAGTCTGACTTTCCGTTACGAAGAAAGGTGATAATCCGTATTCTTAGCCGAGCGAAAAAACAGTTTTGTGAAAAACACAAGATGTTTTTTTTGTTCTGAAAATTCTTTTGATTTGTTTCGTTTCCTATTAAGTTTAGTGGAGTTCTTTGCCGGTTTTCGACTACGAAGATTCTGATGCACTTATAGTCACACATGTGCCGTATATGCTTACGTGTGTGTGAACATTTTTATTTAACCTATACAGCATGCCATATATACATTTTCACAGAGCTTTCAGCAAAAGTTGTGAAAAACTACTAAAATACCTTTTCAATCGAATAAAAACCAACGCATTTAAAAGAGGACACTTGGGGCTACGTTACCATATAGTTTTCTCAAAATCGTCATTTTTGGCAGGACTGCTACTAAAACCAGTTTTTAAGGCTCGATACTGTTGTTTAAGGATACTCAAAAACTAGCTCTACTATTGTTGATGACGTATATCTGTCCCGAGTGCCTTGCAAATTACTTCATGACAGTCGCTTAACATTCATTTTCATTAGATATCATTACACAATGAATAAAATGAGTTGCAAATAAAGGTATTCTGCGAATATTCTCTGACATATTCTAAAAGAGTAGATATTTTTACACATATCTTATCATTTTTGATTGATAAAAATGTTTATCTGACACAATAATATAAATAATATGCGCGACAACGCAAAAATACCATATCAAAAATACCCGAAAAACATTTTTCGATATTACATGTGATATTCATGAGCATTTATAGATAAACTCATGCATACTAATACACTGTTAGAAATCTGTGTTCTTCCGTTCTTTGGAGAACATGGTGAAGAACACGAATGTGTTCTTTGAAAACTGAAGAACAGAATATATGTTCTTCAGCCTATTTTCACGTTTTTGTTCTTCAAA